TTCTATTCTATTCTATTCTATTCTATTCTATTCTATTCTATTCTATTCTATTCTTATTCTACTCTACTCTACTCTACTCTACTCTATTCTTATTTTTTCTATTCTACTCTACTCTATTCTATTCTACTTGGTGTATTCTGTGACTTGCATTGAGGAATATTGCTCCTTTAAATATCAACATCTTTGCTTGAAAACTAATCTGCGTCAAGGTGTTAAGTGGAGCCCCCCTTTCATTGCTATTATTACGGCGCTCCATAGCCATTACAGGCAGTTCTTGATTTATAACAGTTCATTTAGTGACTGTTCAAAGTTACAATGGCACTGAAAAAAGTGCCCTACGACCATTTTTCACATTTATGACCATTGCAGCATGTCCATGGTCACGTAATTTACATTCAGATGTTTGGCAACTGACCCACAGTTATGATGGTTGCAGTGTCCTGTGGCCACGCAATCCTCTTTTGTGAACTTCTGACAAGCAAAGTCAGTGGGGAAGCCAAATTCACTTAACAACCGTGTTGCTAATTTAAGAACTGCAGTGATTCACTTAACAAATATGTCAAGAAAAGTCATAAAATGGAGCAAATCTCACTAAACAAATTTCTCACTTAGCAACCACAATTTGGGGCTCTACTGTGGTCGTACAATGAGGATTACCTGTATTATTCTGTATATCCCATTTTCATTATGCGTACTGTATGCTTTGATATTATGTGAAGGTCTTTGCAGTTTAGTATCTGTTTTTGTTAATGTGCACTACCCAGTTGTTCTGTTGTTCTGTTGCCAAATCTCGTCTGACTTTTTGTGACCCAGGCTCCCCATCTTCCATTGTCTCCCAGAGTGTCCCAAATTCATTTTCATTGCATTGATGACCTTATCCTCTTATCCTTCTCATTTTGACTTCCATCTTTCCCAACCTCAGAGTCTTTTCCAAAATGTCCTCTCTCATCTCATTTGGTGGCCAAAGTATTTGAACTTCAGCTTCAGTGTCAGTCCATCCGAAGGATATTCAGGGTTGATTTCCTTCAGGATTGACTAATTTGATCTCCTTGCACTCCAAAGCAGAGGTGATATTCAGTAGGTTCTGACCAGTTCTGGAGAACCGGTAGCGGAAATTTTGAATAGTTCAGAAAAACAACAAATCCCGTCTCTGACTGGAGATTTTACAGTATCCTTCCCCTGTCATGCCCACTAAGCCACGCCCACAGAACTGGTAGTAAAAATATTTGAATCCCACCACTGCTCCAAAGGACTCTTGAGAATCTTCTCCATCACAATTTAAAAGCATCAATTCTAATGTTTTGAGTTGAATGACCTTATAATTCCAATAACCTAAATAAATAAATATTTCACATGGAAAATAGTATTTTCTTTCCTAAATATTGAAGTCTCCGAGAAGAGGAGCTGCTAGTTGATTGGAAATCATTTGCTTTACCCATTATTTTAATTTTGATGTAGCATTGTTAGAGATTTGGATTAATTTATACAAGTTTTTTTTTTCACCGAACAAGCTCACAAAACTATTGGCCCCTGTATTTTGCCTTCAGTTTTAAGAAAGATGAGAATGGATTAAATTTGATAGGTTGCTATGAATCCATTGTGCCTAGTAGTTTCTGAGTGTTTGTTAGCAACCCTAACGATGTAAAGAAATTTAAATGTAAATTCCATCTTTGAACTCAGCCTTGTCCTTATTTATTGATATTTATCAATTTTCAACCAATTTGACATGTTTGTTTAAAAAATGACAAAAAATTGTATTTTTAAAATGGTTGGTCTTTAAGTGACAATTTCCAGTGAGGACTATAGCGATAGAATAAGGACTACATAATACAAGAGTGTCAAACTTAAGGCCTACAGGCCGGATCTGGCCCATGGGGTACATAGATCTGGACCACAGGACTGGCCTGAAAATAGCAAAGGACTGGCCCGTGGTGCCTCTGCCAGCAAAAACAGAGCTCCATTTTCTCTGGTAGAACAAAACAAACTTTAAAAAAACAAAATAAAAGGAGAAATGTTTCCCCTTTTGCATTTAAGCATGCAAATAGAGAAAGGAAAGGAAAGAAAAAGAAAAAGAAGGAAAGATGAAAAGAGAGCAAGGAAGGAAAAATAAGGAAAGAGGGGAAGGAAGAGAAAAGAAGTATGAAGGGGGAAGGAAAAAGGGAAGGAAGGGAGATAGATTATAATGAGAGTGAGGGAGGGTCTCAGAGAAGTTGGCCACCACAGATGCCTCCGACATGAGTCCCGTGTCACAGCCACCATGGCTATGCCCATGGCCACCACAGCCACAGCCACGCCCGAACTTGCCCACCCACTGGCCCTCCGAGGTCAAATATTACCCTGATGCGGCCTTCAATGAAATCGAGTTCAACACTCCTGATGTAATAGGACAGAAAAAGCAGCTATAGACAGGGAGCTATTTAGATCTCCAATCCCTTATAATCTATGCTAACTGGGGGAATTCTGGGAGTTGAAGTCCAGGCCTCTTAACGTTACTATAGTTGAGAAACACTAGTCTGTCTTTCTGGAATTTGGCGAGCCCCAGTCATCCCCTCTCCTTCCTAAGTCTGCAGACATTTGTGTGTTTTATCTTTACTGAACACGGTACAAGGATAATAAACCTTTATTTCTAAACCAAGAAAATTGTCAAGATTCCAAATTTTAGATGGCAGACTGGTGCTGATACAGTGACATTTCTTTCATCAAATTGAACGTGGCTATGATTTAGGAGTCGGGGTGCAATGGAGTTAAAATTGCCAGTAACTGGGGAGGACAATGTAATGTGCAGCTTTAGTAAGAAACAGCTTCTCTGAAGACCGCAATTATCATCTACTATACATATGAGCTGATAATGGGTGAATTTATAGCGGCCTTTGCTCATTTGATGTACCCCAGAGCCTTTGGGATTACAATTGTCTAGAATTTTAGGATGCTAGATGATGCATTCTCAGCATATTAAGAGGAACCTAGGTCTAGAAGGCTGGTCTAGAACAGGGGTCTCCAATCTTGGCTACTTTAAGACTTGTGGACTTCAATTTGCAGAATTCCTCAGCCAGATTTGCTGGCTGAAGAATTCTGGGAGTTGAAGTGCACAAATCTTAAAGAGGCCAAGGTTGGAGACCCTTGGTCTAGAAGATACCAGAGTATGGTTAGTTATCGCTCTTGTGACTCTGGGGTGTAGATGATTAAAGGCTGGCTGTTCTTGCCCTTATCGTGCCAACAGACATCAAAGAAGGGGTAGACTGTGCCTGTAAAGCGCTCGCGGAAAGCAAAGATCTGGACTAGATTGTCTTCATCACTGGCGTCGTAGAAGGCCAGGAGGCCATCGTCGAAGCTCAGGTAGATGCCAATTCGGCTGGGTTTTCCCTCCAGCTTCAGAGACCGGGGCTCCTTGTGCTCCACATAGGCCTCGTAGCTCTTGCCTTCCTTGCAACCCACCAGCCAGAAGCCATTGGACGGGGTGGCATGAAGGCGGCCCTTGCGCCCAGTTTCAGCTGAGATGATGCCCAGAGCCCAACGGGGCTTGTCATCTACGGTCACCTCCCAGTAGTGTTCTCCTTGTGAGAAGCTCTGGCGTGAGACCAGGCAGTTGGACTTGTCAAACCGTTGTGGGTCATCCGTGCTCACGGCTTGTTTATGTTCAACACATTCTACTCTTTTCCCATCTTCGGACACCACCAGGTTGGCTTGGGCAGTGGCTGGATCAAAGGTCAGGTTCTCCAAAGCTTCAGGAGGACAGGGGGGGGAAAAAGGCAATATGAAAATAAGGACTTTTTCTTTTTTCCCTTCTTTTCTTTCATGGAGAGGATTTAATCAGTGCATGGAATTTACACATTTTAAAAAAAAATAGCATAAGAATGATTGCAGTTATTCATTCTGCATTATTCATTCCTTAACATGCAAAGATATTTCATTGTGAAATGAACAGAAGTTGCTTTTCTGGATGAAGCTTCCCAGTCATGCACCCACTGCAAAATATTTGCCTCAGTCTCTCTTATTTTTGAATTAAGTCTTCCCAACAAATTATTGATTTGATTTTGGAAAAACAGAGTTGAGTAACACAGATACTGAATACAGTTAATCATCCTTGACTTACAACCATTCATTTAGTGACCTTTTGAAGTTACAACAGCACTGAAAAAGTGACATCACTATTTTTCATACAACTGTTGCAGTATCCCGCAGTCACATGATCAAATTTCAAATGTTTGGTTCATATTTATGAAGTTGCAAGGTTCTGGGGTCTTGTGATCACTTTTTGTGATCTTCTGCCAATAAAAGTTAATGGCAAAGTCAGATTCACATAACAACCATGTTCTTAAGTTAACAACTAGTGATTCACTTAACAACTGTGGCAAAGTTGTAAAATGGGAGAAAACTCATTTAATCTCTATCTTGCTTAGCAACAGACATTTTGGGCTCAATTGTGGTTGTATATCGAGAATTACCTGGATTATCTTTAGAAAATCCACTTTTAGCTTAGCTCTCAGAGCAGCCATGTTACCTTATGTTGAGTCATGTGACAAGCAGAGGTGGTATTCAGCCGCTTCAGACCCGTTCGGGCAAACTGGTAGTGAAAATTTTAACTAGTTTGGAGACCTCACAAATACTACCTCTGGCTGGCCCCACTCCAGCCCACTTTCTCATCCCACCCCACTCTGCCCTGCCCAGTCACTCCTCATCTCACCCACTCAGCTGCCATTGCTAGCCTGCCTTCGCCCGCCGTTGCTGTCTGCCTTCCGCCATGGCCCTGATCTCCCTGCGTGTGTAAGCCTGCAAGCAAGCCCCAGTCGACTGGACTTGTGGGCTGTGTTCCAAACTAGCAGGCTGTAGACCTGCATTCCCATTGGTCCGGAAGACCCAGGCCGTGATTGGATGATATAAACATCCCTGATTGGTTCGTACAGGGCTTGCCGCGATTGGGTGAAACCAAGCGCGGCAAGCTTAAAAGACTGTCATAGGCTGCCTAGCCGCAGCCAGCTCTATATAAAGGGCTGCCGCGGCTGGGTTTCTTTTGTCTCAGAATCTGCCTCCTTAATAAAGAGCTGTTGTTCACTACTTGAGCCTCGTGTCTCTATGGGACCCACCAACCATACTTAACAGGCTGGCCTAGGGCACCGCCACCACAAGCCCCGGTCAAGTCGACTCCCTGCCCAACCTACCTGCCTCTGCTGCCGCAACCTCCAGTTGAGGTCCGACTCCCGGATTGGCCTAGGCCGCCATCTTAAGGTGGACATGGTGAGACTCGGCCACCTTTCAGACCTGGCTCTCACCATCCTTCCACCCATATGCAGCCCGGTCACTCACCCTCCACCTTGGTTCAGGGGACACATCAGTTCCTGGCTCAGGCCTTTTCCTGCTTACATGCCACCCATTCACCTTGCTTACCTTCCATTCTGAAGGACTGCCTTAGTGGTGCTGGGGGACATGGTGAGGCTTGGCTGCCTTTTACAAGAAGCCTCCAGCCACCGGTAGTTTTCAGCACAAGAAGCCTTCAGCTGCCTCTGCTGGCTCGGTTCCGGCTGGCAAAGAGGTGGTGGCTGGAGGCTTCTCACGCCAAAAAAGACTGGTGGCTGCAAGCTTCTTGCACCTAAAACTACCTGCAGTCCCATCACCGCCATTGCCACCCTGTTCTTTGCACCAGCCTCGTCCACATGCCATCTTCTCACAGAAGATCCCGGTGCCATGAGATGTGTGTACACTCTGTGTGAATGCCCGAGAAGGAGAAGATTTGGCTGAACTTTTCTGCCTCCCTCTGCAGTGGAGCTGCTCAGAAGGCAGCTGCCTCAGTCTGTCCCTTTAAGGTACTTCAACGCCGCCTGCCATCCAACCCTGTGCAAAGGCAGCCCAGCGGGGCTGCCGCTGCTAAAGGAAAAGGGATTGACTCTCCCAGTCCCTATCACTCACACACGGAAGCCAGATGGCAGAAGGGAGGGGGAGGAACCATAAAGTGACAGGCCATGGCAGCTGCCTCCCAAGCAGCTTTTGAGGCAGGGAAAGTTTGACCAAGTGGTCTCCTCCATCTCGGCTTCAAACATACAGACAGAGCAAACAAGCATACACCTCATAGCACCGGGATCTTCTACAAGGAGACAATGCTTGGGCAAGTCCCTCCAGCACCATGAGGTGTGTACATGTTTGCTCTGTGTGTATGTTTGAGGCTGAGAAGGAAGAGGAGGCTTGGCTGAACTTTGGAAGAATTCTGCCCAACACTTCTCATGTATTCAGGGTCTACAACTCTCCCAATGATGAGTTTGGTGGCAATCTAGCAAAATGTCTTCCAGCTCTTCAAGATCTACTTTAAGAGCACCCAAGTTTTAGATCTTCTGCTGCTTGTTGTGGCTTGCTTGGAAAGACTCCATCCTCGCTTTTGTAGGCAAGAGACCGAGCCATTGTTCCTTTTTCCCCACTGTACATCAAGGTACGCCCACCCTTGCTGCCCCTCCTTTCCCCATTACTTCGTGCTAAGCTTCCCTCTTTGAAAGACATTGATGGTTGTTCATTGTCACTCCTCAGTCCCCATGGAAGAAGCCAAGAGCAAAAGTAGGGGAGGTGAGGGCGACAGCCAGGGCTTTGCTGCCTCCTCTTTTCCTCAGAGGCATGGTATCTGCCTCCCTTTGTACTCATTGTGCTCGCCGGGAGGGCCGAGCTGGAGTGAAAAAGTGCACACAGGAGCGAGAGAGTGTGAAGTTGGCTGCTATGGGGTAAGTGCCTTGGCTTCCCCCTTTGCTCCTCCCAGTTGCCCAGTGCAGTGGTTCTTTACTTGGGCAGCCTGACGACTGCAGCAGTGCCTGCAGCAGCAACAAGCAGCGCCACAACAATGACATACAGTAAGATTTGGCGGTGCAGAAATTGTTCCATAAAAAATATAGTGCATCTCCAAGGGGCTTCTGGCAAAAAAAAAAAAAAACCACTCCAAAACAAAACCCATTCAGCAAGGCAAACTTAGCAGGCAGTCACAATCTTTAGATGGGCTTTTATTTTGTCAGCCCAAGGGTGGAAGTGGGGGAAGGTATGTAGGAAATTGCCCTGTCTCTGCTGCCCCACCTTGCCATGAGTGACATCGAGTTGGCCACGCCCACTTAGTCGCATGAACACCAAGCCATGCCCACCAAGCCACGTCCACAGAACCGGTAGTGAAAATTTTTGCTTCCCACCACTGGTGAGAGGCTATAATAACCTGTACTTGTAATGGCAATATATAGACTGGAGTAAGGTAAATTGGAGCCCCTACGTCAACTCTTGCATGCAAAAGGATACAAAGGGCCAACTTCTTTATAAAAAAATCCATATGCAGCCTTATCCTGCAAGTGGTGATCTCTACCTGGCATTATTGCACGGAACATCTTCCTCCATACTTGAAACTTAAACTCATCAGAAATTATGGGGAGCTGGATGTCCATGCGGGCAATAGGTGGAGATTCCCCCAGGATCTTCTGTAATCTACAGGAAGAAGAAAAGGAGGAGACAGCTTTATCACAGAGGGCGGCAGGGGAGAGGATTCCCCTACTTTTCTTTTAGATTCCCCCTTATTAAATTTAATAAAATTTAACAATAGTTAATTGTTTATTAAAACAAGATTCCCAAACAAACAGCCCATCAACATATTCTGGAAGATAAGACCCATATTTTAAGGGAATTGTTACAATCTAACCTATCTGGAGAGAGCAGGGTGAAATACAGAAAAGTTGGATGATGGTCAGATAGAATACAATAACAGAGCTGGAAAGCACCTTGTAGTCCAACCCCCTGCCCAAGTAGAAGACCCTATACCATTTCTGACAGTGGGCAGTCCAGTCTCTTCTTGAAAACTTCCAGTGATGGAGCTCCCACAACTTCTGAAGGCAACTTGTTTCGTTGTTCTCACTGTCAGAAAATTTATCCTTATTTCTAGGTTCAATCTCTCCTTCATCAGTTTCCACCCATTATTCCTTGTCTGGCCATCGGGTGCTTTGGAAAATAGGTTGACCCCCTTCTCTCTGTGGCAGCCCCTTAAGGAACACTGCTATCATGTCACCCCTGGTCCTTCTCTTCACTAGACTAGCCATGCCGAGTTCCTGCAACCATTCACCATATCTTTATATATAGAATATATAGAAATCATTCTCCAAATGCTGCCACTTACAGAGCAAGAATGGGAAGGCTTATTTACAATGGCAGCAGAGCCAGAGAAACTAAAGGTTTACAGTACAGATAAGCCTCAACTTATGGTTCAGTCACCATTCAAGTTACAAAGGCACTGAAAAAAGCTGTGTTTCCAGTGCCGTTGGAGACAAGGACCACGAGCTCCGCAGGCCCGCTCCTAGCTTTCCCCATCGGAGAGTTCAGAAAGCCATAGCCCCGCTATAGGGATTGTGAAGTAAAGGGGGGTACCTTGCAGGTCAAGGAGAGCCACATCTCTCCTTCCTGACTTGGAAAATCCCCCTCATCCAAAGACGAGGAACAACAGCAGTCAATATGGCTGCCATGAAGCTGGGGACAACCAAAATACCCAAGAGAGTTCAGGAGTGAAAAAGCAGTGAACAGAGATTGTTGCTGGATGAAATTATTCTTTTTTCTTTTAAAATTACTCCAAGAAAAAAAAACCTAGAGAAGAGGGTCTAAAACTATAACTGTTTAAGCGGCAGAAGAAAATATTTTTAAAGAGACATGCTGAAAAGTAAATTGAAAGTGCCATCTGCTGAAGAAAAGAAATGTGACCCCTAAACTCTTAGAAATTTACAGAGGAGGAAACTTGATAGCTAGTGGCTGGGACTTTTAACTGTTTACTGCCTTGTGCTTACCAGAGGTGGAAAAATAGAAAGACATTTTATAAAAGAGACTCTGGGAAGCTGGAATAAAACTATCAGAGTACTGAGTAAATGCTGGAATTGGCTCGTTTAAATGATTGATTTTGTTTTGAAAGAAATGGAGATTGAGTGAAATAAACACCTGCTGGAAAAAAAATTGAAAGGAGAGCGTCATCTATTAATGATTAGAAAATAAACCAAATAAACCATACTTTTATGATTTTGGACTCTCTGAATCAGATTGAGGCATGATTGTTTATTCCACTTTATCATTACTATGACTGGAGCTGAGGGAACAGCTGTGGAAATGACAAGGACTTTTTAATGAGACATTTAAAAAAAAAAGATTAATGAGACATTTTTGTTGTTCCAAAATATGGATTTGACCGATGGGATGGATGAGAAAATGAAAAACATCTCACAAAGAACAATGAATCAAGAAAAGTTCCCGTGGATTGGTGGAATCAACCGAAAGATTGGGTGAAATGGATTACTTAAGCCAGCAAAGGGAACATGAACGGAAAAGAATATGGATCAGAAAAATCAACAAATGAAGCAATAGCTCAGTGAAGAGGAAGACCAGATAAATGGCAAGCAAAAGAAGCAGAAAGAACAGATAGATGGAGCTGACAAATCAGCTTATAAAGGAAGAAAGACCAAAGAAAATAGAACAGACAAATTGACAATTGGAGAGACATGAATATACTTTTGATAAGGAGATTGGGACATGGGCAGACATTTGGGAGAATTGGCAGCATAAGATTGTATTGGGAGAAATGTTTAGATTGAACAAGAAAGATACAGATGAAGATAGAGATAAAGATGAGGAGTGGGGGAGGCAAATTTAAAAATGGATAAGAATTGAAGCATTAAGGAGCAGAAGAGATGATGGATAGAAAGAATTGCCATTTAAAGATTTAAGTAGCCTGATTGTAAGCTAAAGGAGGAAGAAACAAAATTAGATGGGAGAAATATTAGAACATAAATTTATATAGAATGAATAAAAATAATAGATAGAAAGACTAGAAGGTGTTAGGCTTTTTAAAATAATATAATGAGGATTACTTAAATTTGATAAATGTGGTAGAGATTACCAACATTGTTAGTGTGAATTGGATCAATATGAATGATAGATTTAATTTTGTTTATATATAATAGAGAAATGTTTAGATTGAACAAAAAAGACATAGATGAAGATACAGATAAAGATGAGGAGTTAGGCATTTTTGTTTATATATGTTTAAACAATATAATGAGGATTACTTAAATTTGACAAATGTGATAGAGTTTACTAATATTGATATGATGAATTGGATGAATATGAATGATATCCAGAACTAACTGTTTAAACACCATATGGATGTGTGTGTGTGTGTGTGTGTGTGTGTGTGTGTGTGTGGTATTTAGGTTTCTTCGGGTATTTTCCCACGTCTTAATATTTGTGCTTTTATTATAGCGACGTTTCAGCAGAATCTCATCTGCCATCCTCAGGCTTGTGTACTGGGTTCTTTTTAATCTTGTGTGTCAGGCTTGGCAGCTGTTTTTTGTTGGAATTTGGTGCTCAAACAAAAAACGGCTGCCAAGCCTGATACACAAGATTAACAACACAAGCCTGAGGATGGCACATGAGATTCTGCCAAAACATCGCTTATAATAAAAGCACAAATATTAAGACATGGAAAAATACCCGAAGAAACCTAAATACCATACATATGCGAAAACATAAGAAAACAAATATATATCTATTTCACAATAGTTACAGCATGCCCATGATCAAATGATCCAAATTCTTCATTCGTATTTATGATGGTTGCAGTGTCCTGAGGTCATGTGATCACCTTTTGCCACCTACTGACAAGCAAAATCAATGGGGAAGTTGAATTTACTTTACACCTGTGTTCCCAATGTGACAATGGCAGTGATTCTCTTAACACTGTGGCCGGAAAGGTTGTAAAATGGGGGCAAAACTCACTTAACAACAGTCTCACTTAGCAACATAAATTTTAGGCTCAATTGGGTTCATAAGTTGAGGATTAGCCTTAGTACAATTAATAGTTAGAGAAGAATCTTTGGGATGGGAAAGTATAAAGACAGAATCAAGGCGAGACAGATGAAGACTGAATGGGCTCCAGGGAAATAGAGCAATGGCTGGATGAGAAAGGGAGAAATGGAAGGGAAGATCCCAAAGGAAGATATACAAAGTTGAGTAATTAATGCCACATATCACTGCAACATAACAAAAGCCAAATAAAAGAATTATAATTCAAATCAAACTCTGGGAGATCAGGTCTCAAATTAAAGAGAGTAACATGGAATGGAATAGCACAGCACAGCATAGCATAGTTCTTTATTGGCCAAATGTGATGGGACACACAAGGAATTTGTCTCTGGTGCATAAGCTCTCGGGGTACATACAAACAAGAAAATGATAAATCATATATACTAAGAAAACCTCTGCGTTTATATAGTTTAATATTTATTATTTTATTTTATTTTATTTTATATTTAATTTAATATTTAATTTAATATTAAGGAACATTGGAGATTTTGGTGAATGGCAGGAAGGTGTTTTTAATTCAGAGCATTGTCCTCTTGTTCTTCTTGTACACAGACAAACTTAATTAATTGTTGAGATTCTAGTAAGGCTTTGTTTCTGTAGTTTCAGAACTACACAGGAATTCTACGATCAGTTCCTTTAAAATGCAAGTGAATTGCAGGTTGCATTAAGAGCATCTTCAACAAGTAACATTGAAGTTAAACTGATGGTGTGTCATCGCTGCGCAAAGGATGAAATTGTGTACCCCTATTCTAATGTCTGATGCACGCACATAGGAAGTATCAGTTATGTCATATTGTCACGTACGTGTCATCATTTGTCCCTGTCCTCTTCTTTTGGGCTCTAAGAACATCTTTTCTGGTAAGGAAGAACTTAAGTGAAGGGTACTTGGTGCTCTTTGGCCTTGGTTGTTTTCTTTTAGAAGTTTCATTACCAAACTGGTAACATTTTTAGTATTAATAGGGAGAGTCAGAGAGTATAGAGAGTGCAAAGCCCACTCCCTATTAGCAGTGATGATGTTACCTAGTTTGGATAATGAAACATCTACAAGAAAGCCACCAAATTCAGAGAGAACCAAGGACCCCCCCTCTCCAGTTCAGAGATGCACACAATTCAGAGAAGAGGGTTGGCTGGTGAGTTGTTTTAAATGGATAGTTGCTCACCTGCTGGCAACCAGACAATATTTCTGTAGAGGAAAAAAAAAAGCAGAAGTTAGCAAAGTTCATGTAGTTTTCCATCATTAGAGCAGATTTTGACAACTAGTGCCCTTCCGTTTGTAGGGTCATGACTTCTTGAATTCCTACCGACATGGTTAGGAAATGAAAAACTGAAATACAAATACAGATAACCCTTGGCTTACAACCACAATTGAAACCCAAATTTATAATTTCTAAGCGAGACATGTGTTAAATGAATTTTGTCCCATTTTACGCCATGATTATTAAGTGGATCACTGCAGTTGTTAAGTTAGTAACATGGTTGCTAAGTGAATCCAGCTTCCCGTGAATCCGGCTGACCAGCATTGACTTCACTGGTCAGAAGGTCACAAAAGGGGGATGATGTGACCCTGAGACACTGCCACCATCCTAATTATGAGACAATTGCCAAGCATCCAGATTTTGATTATGTGACCATGGGGATACTGCAATGGTTTTAAGTGTGAAAAACGGTCATAAGCCACCTGTTGTAATTTTGAACGGTCACTAAATAAATGGTTGTAAGTCGAGGACTATTTGTACACCGCGTATGCCTACAATAAGGTTGAGCATACAATTCAGAAGCGTAACAGGCTTTGGTTTGGTTTTTAGTGTCATCGAGACTGGAAAAAACAAACAAAATGGAGGTGGCCTCACCCTCAGGAACTCAGTCTGTGGCTCGTCTTGCACTTCGCCCAGGACCATCTCCATCTGCTTGAGCTGGTCCAGGTAGCGGGCCATGGTCTTGCGTTCATTTTGCAAGGCCTCAGAGGCCTGTTGTTGCACCTTCTCGGCCTCCTGGCCCAGGGAAGATTCCAGCGCTCCCAGATAAGACCGCATGACCCCCAGCTGCTCTGCTACTTGGTGTTTGAACCGTGATACCGTTTCCTAGTGTGGGAAGATCATATAAAGTTATGTAATTGTGTCAGAAATATTGTGTTGGGAGAAATGTCCTTCTAGGTTCAGTTCCAAGTGGTGGAAAAAACACTGAAAACATGGAGGCTGTTTGGAAAGATGCTTTAATGGTGGACAGGACCACATGGCTTGGGCAAAGAAAAAAGGGGAGAAGTACTGAGAATCCCTGGGTTTTATGCCCTCTCTGGATTTTGAATTTGAGCCTGTGTTCTGATTGGTTGTCAGACTGCCATGGGCTATGCAGGGGTAACTTGGTAGGTTGTCTTTTGAGTCCCAGGCTTGGTTGACTCTTGCTGGGTAATGAAAGGGCTTTGGGCAATTCCTACTATAGCTCTGCTCGAAGGAGGTACATCTTTGTTATATAGAATAGACTGGCCCAGGCCTTAATGGCCCATTGACAAAGGTGGGGGGGGGGGTGCGTTTCTGCCTGATTCTACTCTTTTATGGGAAATATTCTGCCTTTTTAATAGATCCTAAAATATTTCATTTTTCTAGGAGAGGGGTAGGTTTTAACTTCCAACAATGGTATAGCAAGGAATCCCAAACCTCCGAGCCTTAACCACTACTCATTCGGAACTGGCCTGTACATGCAGTGGGTGAGTGTGCGCATGCACTCAGCTCCACTTGTGCAAGTGGCAGGCACATGTGCCGACTGCTTGCGCAAATGGAGTTGTGCACATTCACACACGCACCTGCCACACATAGAGAACTATCCCTTCACTTCATGGCCAATCCACCAAGCCAAAAAGATTCTGACCATTGGTGTGTACAGAATCAAATTTTAACTAAGCAAGGTCCCCAACAAAGTTATTTATTAACAGCCTCTAAAATCCTTTAAGATTATAGCAAACATAAGAATTAATTAAACATTTGTTTCAAATTGTAAACACACATAAGCAAACACACAAAACTAAATTAACACAGTGTAAACATAATTATAACGCTCACAGTTCAAATGAAGAAATGCAATCCACATCATTTGATTTAATCAACACCTCCTCTGGATCAACATGTACACCCACCCACATTCCTCAAGCCATTCTGAGGACAAATTTCCCTATAAAACAGCCCTTTGTACCCCATGTTCTCTGTAGCTACTCCCACAGGTGAACCTCTTTGCTTTGGGGAATAAACACATTTCCTTTCCTCACAGTTGTCTGGATTTCATTATGATTTATTCTTGAACAACGCCTGCTTGAGTTGGAAGCTGAAATTATTCTTCTGACTCTAGCAACACAAGGGAAGGACAAGTGGGAAGGGTTCTTCGTTTGCTTGTGTGGCCTGATCCTTAAACAGTACACAGATGAGTTGATGAAAAATGTTTATCTGTAATCAGTGTTTCTAAAACTTGCTTATACCCACCTAGAGAGCATCTCCATTATATGAATTTAATCTGGTTTTAGAGTAATTTTCTCTTATGAAGGAGTCCGGTGTGAAATATCACAACAGTCACAGATTTACACTAAACTACAGTTCCTAAATAGTATTAAGAAAAAAAAATGTAATTAATCTAGCAATCACTGTAATCCTACTGAGCATATGCTTGAAATATTTCGTGTGCACATCCCTATGTTTGTGCAATATGTATATTTAATTTATATGCCACCCTCTCATTTTTTTAACAACTGGGTGGCTTATAAAATAATAAAAAGGTAAATACAGAACTATTAAAATTAAGATCAAGTAGGAAAAACTAAGAGAACAGGCAACATAGGATAAGAATATTCTCCCTAAATATAAAGTTTGTAGAATATAAGTTCTACACTATAAACTAGATGTAGGTCCGTACAATACCTGTGTCATGTGTTTGTGTATGTTGTTTGTATACATGTACATGTAAGATAGGCGTGTGTTTACTTAGCATGGAGCAATGCAATTGGTGAGCCAACGTTTTAATGTTGTATCTTTATAGATCTTGTACGTTGTAAATCACCACGTGGTCTTTCTACTACCTACCTATCGGAGTGTCTCTCACACAGGGACAAACAAACATCCAGGACTGATACCTCAACTTCTGCTATTTGCCGATTCAGCAAAGCAATTGTCTTCTCCTTGCGTATTTGGGCTTCTTGGAGCTGGACCTGCTGCTGGGGAAGCTGCTTCTGCAATTAGGCCAGATGGTAAGCAAGGAGAGACGAAACACAGAAATTTCATTTGACAAGTAATTTGGAGCAAATATTCCGGGAGATTCATAATCCCCTGTTTTATCTTCAGGGAAACAGTGCAGTTGGTCCTCAACTTACAACAGCTCATTTAGTGACCGTTGGCACTGAGAAAAGTGAGCCATGACCATTTTTCACACTTACAACTGTTGTAGCATCCCCATGTTCACGTGCTATACATTTGGATGCTTGACAACTGAATCACATTATGACGGTTGCAGTGTCCTGGAGTCATGTGATTCCCTTCCAACAAGCAAAGTCAATGGGGAAGTCAGATTCACATAACAACTGTGTTATTAATTTAACAGCTGCAGTGATTCACCTATGGACTACCGGTAGTTTCATTCATTCATTCATTCACTCTTTTACTCACTCTTTCATCCATCCATCCACCCATCTGCCCACCCACCCATCCATCCAGATGAACCTTGCCAAGGTGACTCAGAGTAACAAACAAGTTTAAAGTGTTTGGCAACTGGCATGTATTTATGACGTTTAACTGTCCAGGGGTCATGTGATCACCATTTGTAACCTGCCCAACCGACTTCCGACAAGCAGAGTCAATGGGAGAAGCCAGATTCACTGAAGGACCACTCAACAAATTGCAGTGATTTGCTCAACAAACAAGGCAAAAAAGGTCATAAAATCTGGCCAAACTCACTTAACAACTGCCTTCCAATGGAAGTTTTGGGCTCAGTTGTGATCATAAGTTGAGTATTAACTACACAGGGCTTCATAAGTGACAGCCACACCTTAGTCACACTGGAAGCTTATTGGAAGCTAATGTAATTTTCTTGTAAATTTTCATAAAATGTCAGAGCTTGAGAGAATCAATCAATAACATGCCCAACCATCAGGGGTGGGATTCTACCGGTTCAGCCCGGTTCTCGGAAGAACAGCCGAGACCAAACTGATTTGCTGCTATGATCTTCTGATCTTCTGTTCGGCCCATCCACCCGCCTGGGCTTTAGGCTGTGCTTTATTCCCTGTTTTTTCCACCTCAGCTGCTTTGCGTGGCACAACCGAGTGCCACGTATCAACAGGAGAAGGTGAATCCTTGCAGGAGCCAGTGATTTGTAAACACACACGCAGCAACAAAGCGCACGCTTACCAAACCAGTTATTATGCCAGTAGGATCCCATCCCTGAGATCCATACTTTAGGACAAGGGTCTTCAAACTTGGCGAATTTCAGACTTATGGACTTCAACTCCCAGAATTCCTGAGTTAATATGACTGGAGAAGGAATTCTGGGAGTTGAAGTCCACAAGTCTTAAAGCTGTCATGTTTGAAGATCCCTGCTTTAGGACAAAGACTTTAGCTCAGAGGGAAGGCATATATTTTGCAGGAATGGTACCAGGTTTAACCCTTGGTATTTCTTCAACCGGCAAAATTCTTGCTTGCAATCCCACTGTAGCCTGTTCTTGCTGGGTTGACCAATGGCCTGACTGAATCCACGTTAGGTGTGCCTGTTGGACTGACACTGATGGAGGAACAAGACACCAAGCCCTTAGGACTGTGTTCCATCTCAACCTCTTACCTTCATCCTCTGGTGGGCCTCAGCAGCAGTAATGATGTTGTGCCCCTTATGCTTGCCTAGAGAGGCACAAACCCCACAGATCACCTGCCGGTCCTGTTCGCAGTAAACACTGAGCGGGTCGAGGTGTTCTTCACAGTGATCACGAGGCACCTGCCGGAAGGACTGCACCAAATGCTCCATCTGCTGGTTGATCCGCAGCTGCTCCACCTTGGTGAGGGCTTGGCAGGTGGGACACGAGGGAGCAGTTTTGCCCTCAGACTCTTCGGTGGCCACACGGGCCAAGCAGGCCTGGCAGAAGGTGTGCCCGCACTCTGTCGTCACAGGGGACTGGAAGAGCTGGAGACAGATGGGGCAGCTGAGGTCCTGGTGCATGCCCTGTATGAGGCGTTGTTTAGAGCTGGACATGGTGATGATGGAGAGACAGGAACCTGGCAACCAAGAATGACAATGGGAACCCAGAATCTCATTTGCTTGGACTTCTACTACTGCCCCCATTAAACACCAGGGTCGCCTTATTTTCTGCAGCGCAACCAACACCAAACATAGAAAATATGAATAAAGAGCTCAATGCATGATGACCTCGTGGTTACTTCCTCACAATATTCTTGACAATTGAAGAAGCTTCTTCGGGTTTCAGAAAAGAACTTCTTGGATAAGAAGCTAAATGTCTTCAAGGAAAAACAAAGGAAGTCCAGTTGCCTTTGAAAAAGCACCTATGGGACAACCATGATCTGGATGACTGAGAATCTCCATAGAGATTAGGCAGTGTTAACTATGCCACCCCCTATCAAGAAAGATGTAGAAGATAATAGTAATGTGAAATTTAGACCCCACCCATCTTGTGTAACATTTTGGCCCTGTTGGGATACAAGGGTAGAGAATGTTTTGTTTGAGGAAAGAGATATGTGGGTTTCCAAAGAGAGTAGAGCTATCAAAACTGGCCTGCAAATATCCAAATGGCCATTAGAGGGCAGGAAAGTGTTGTTCTCAGCACTTTAAGGGTGCCATCTAATGGTGGTCTGGAACTTTGCATTCTACATCTGGTAGTTATAACATAAAGTTGTCCTAACTCCAGGCCTTCTCCAAAATCTAGATCTCCTCAAGCTTTTGAGATCACTGGCCAAAATTGAAATTATGAAATTACAGTAAAAAAACGGGGGGAGGCACATGTCCCAATAAGATGATGTATGTTTTCAATATTGGTTATAACTTTTTAAAGAAACTTTCTAACTTTGTGGTTCCCTTTTAGCATGAGATTCAGGTTAAGTGAACTTCCAGCTCTGCCAAATTTCGGTTGGTTCTACCTAGCACTATTGGTCCTTCTGTACTTTCCCTCCTGCTAAGAAAAGCAGCAGTGAACAAATACAGGAGGTTTATCAGAAGAAGACAAGAACATTTCTGAGTCTCCATCAGCGAAGTTGGAGATCCATATCTTCATCCCAGAATCATGTAGCCAGAAACAGGCCTACTATGAAATTTCATCCCTCTTTATAGATCTTGTTAAATTATCTCAACCTCACCCCCACCCCTCAGTTGTTCCCACTGTTAACTTTCAAGAAATGTAGGGGTTAGTAGACTGAAAATAATGCATAGAATAGTATTTTTGACCTTCCACCAAAAATTCTTTCTCCTTATCTCCAGATTTCTATTGGGGTCAAGTTCCTTAATTCCTTCCCTGAAGAGGGCTTCCTGACAGGGCTAATGATGACTCTCATATTGGTGCTATAAAATCTGGCAAGCTACCACAATGACAGTACAGGTAGTCCTCAACTTACAACAGTTCATTTAGTGATTGTTCAAAATTACAACGGCACTGAAAAAAGTGACTTAAGGCCGTTTTTCACCATTGTAGCATCCCCATGGTCACATGATCAAAACTCCGATGCTTGACAACCAGTTCATGTTGCAGCGTCCTGAGGCGACATGATCCCCTTTTGCGACCTTCTGACAAGCAAGGACAATGGGGAAGCCAGATTCACTTAACAACCATGTTACTACCTGTAACAACTGTAACGGTAACAACAGTGGCAAGAAAAGTCGTAAAATGGGACAAAACTCACTTAACAAATGTCTCGCTTAGCAACAGAAATGTTGGGCTCAATTGTGGTTGTAAGTTAAGGACTATCTGTAGTGGGTTAGTTTTCTGAATCTCTTCAGTGTTACCTTGGGAAGGCTCAGATTTTTTTCAGCCCAGATATGGCAGCCGTAACTACAGATAGTCTTCAAGGTCAAGTTACTGATTGTTCAAAGTTACAACATCACTGAAAAAACTGATTTATGATCATTTTTCACACGGTTGTAACGTCCCCATCATCAAAATTCAGGCACTTGGCAACTGACTCATACTTATGACTTTTCCAGTGTCCTGAGGGTCATGTGATCCCCTTTTGCAACCTTCCGACAAGCGAAGTCAATGGAGAAGCCAGATTCCCTAAACAACCATGGTAGGAATTTAACAACTGCAGTGATTCACTTAACATCTGTGGCCAAAAAATGGTTGTGAAATGGGGCAAAGCTCACTTAACAAATGTCTCACTTAGCAACAGAAATGTTGGGCTCAATTGTGGTTGTAAATCGAGAACTGTATATTCAACTTTTAAATATTGTGTCTAGTATTATCTGTCTGTCAAATCTGTAACAGCTTAGAGAGTCCCAATTAATGCTGTTATCCTATTATTTCCACTTTGACAGACCTCCTCCTCCTCCTTTGAAATGTGGATTTACAGGCGGATGTTACCTACAAGTTGGGTTGACAAAATCAGAAATGAGGAGGTGATAAGCCACTTGGGAAAGTCAAGGAAAATCATCAAAACTATAAAAAAGCGGAAGTTAAGAGTATTTTGGACGTGTGATGTGACACCCAGAAAAATACGACATACTTCGCTTAATCCTCCAAGGAAAGATTGAAGGCAAAGGAGGTCCAGGCAGAAGAACAACATCATGGGTTCAAAATCTAGGGGACCGTTTTGGACAAAACTCAACAGCACTTTTTCGTACGGCTATTGATAAGAATAGCATCGCCAACATGATCACCAACATCCGATGACGGATATGAAACAAGAAGAAGAAAAAAGTAACATTATCTGAGTAGCTGGAAATTAAAAACTGAAGGATAAAGTAGAACTGTTTCAAGCAAATCTTGTTAAAATCAATCCTCAGTAGAGTTTTCACAATAGAAAACAGTGAAAATTTTAAGAAAATATACATTTTGAAAATGCATATATTGGCTTTTAATAAAACTGTTCTCAAACACCTTAGAAAATGTTGAAACAACACAACAGCCTTTAGCACTGAGTCAGTAGATAAGGCAGAATGTGTCTTTCTTACAATCAGAGGTCAACTCGCAACTGTTCCAGCAGAGTTCTCTTTCTGGCCAAGATTATGATGTAGACTCTACTGCAGCTGCTTCTCCTTTGACTGATGGATGGCGCCAGGTTGGTTTCCCCTTGATGTGGCATTCTTGTTGTGAAACAAGGGTTGTGCTACAAGCTTAAATTGTTGACCAAAGCAAAAATTATGCTTCCATTCCACCCTGCACCAGATTCTGATCAGCAAGGCTTTACTCGCATAGTTTATTGGTATAAAAATAATTAGATACGTTTTGGTGCCTCAAAAAAGTCCTGAGCACACAGTTGTTTGCCCCTACAGATTAATGTGAATACACAATTTTTTTAAAAAAGCTGCTAAGAGTTTTAGGATAGGAACCACATTATGCCAGGAATGGAAGATTCAGCCTCGGGTTATGGTGAATCCAACTGCCTAAATTATTTCCAGTGAGATAATCCTCAACCTACAACCACAATTGAGCCCAACATTTCTGTTGTTAAGCAAGACATTTGTTAACTGAGTTTTGCCATTTTACAACCTTTCCAGCCACCGTTGTCAAGTGAACCACGCAGTTATTAAATTAGTAAAATGGTTGTTTGATGAATCTGGCTTCCCCATTGACTTTGCTTGTCAGAAGGTCACAAAAAGTGATCACATGATCCCCAGGATACTGCAACTGTCATAAATATGAGTCAGTTGCCAAGCATCTGAATTTTGATCACATCGCTGGGGTGATGCTGCAACTGTTGTAAGCCTGAAGAAAGGTCAAGTCCCTTTTCTCAGTGCTATTGTAACTTCAAGTGGACAGCTGTAAATCGAGGATTACCTGTACATTGTTCCCTTGCAATAAACTGAGATGGCCAAGAACATCTTTGCTGCATGGCTCCCATCAATTTGAAGCAGCTTTCCTTCATTTGCTGGTCTTCAGTTCTTTCACTTCAGTTCCTAGAATTCCTTTACAGAGGACCAGATTCGGGGAGTCTGGCTAAAATGGGGGGAATCTACCTTTGAAACAAGGTTTCCAGAGAACTCAAGGCAAAATTTATTTAAGATCTTGATCTCTTGGTCCTTCTCTGTTCCATGTCTGCCTGTCGTCATGTGGAAGGGTGTGACGTGAGTGAGATGAGCTCTCTAGGGATGATCCTTGTGACACCTCCACCATTTCTGTTAACTGGGATTTCTCTGAACATGGATCTACCAAACCTCTGGAAAACCAATCAAGCTATGTCCCAGAATAATTTCTATGACAGGATTAGAGGACAGTGCCAAGAAGGAATAGGAAGGAGGCAGGGGTGGGCTTCAAAAATTTTAGCAAGGAGTTCTCTGCCTGGTTGCTAGGTGAGTGTGGCCATGGTGGGCATGGTCTAGTCAGCCTCCTGCACCACGGCAGGGGATTGTTTTTACCCTCCCCGGGCTCCGGAGGCTTACCTTGAGCCTCCGAGAGGGCGAAAATGGCCTCCCTGGGCTCTGGAGGCTCTCCAGAAGCTATCTCATCCCGTGCTGAGAATGACAAATAGAAGTTTTTTTGTGCCAAAAAGATAGTAGACTTGGAAGGGACCTTGGAGGTCTTCTTGTCTAACCCTCTGTTCAAGCAAAAGATTATACCCAGGGGTGGGATTCAAATTTTTTAACAACCAGTTCTGTGGGCATGACTTATTTGGTGGGCGTGGCTTGGTGGTCATGTGACCAGGTGGACATGGCTTGGTGGTCATGTTATTGACATTTCCTCGCCTGGCCTCTCATGACTGTGGGGATGCTGCAACAGTCGTAAGTGTGAAAAATGGTCATGAGTCACTTTTTGCAGTGCCATTGGAACTTTGAATGGTCACTCCACACAAGCAAAGTGCCAGCAAAGGAGGGGAAAAAAAACTCCAGAGAAGTTCCTGAGACAGGAAGTCTAGTCCTGCCAAGAATGTAATAACGGTTAACGGAGAGGCAGTTTCTGTAAGCAACATCAGAATGTTTCCTTCCTGCGTTCCTTATAGGATTAGGCCAGTAATTTCTTCTAACAACCGGTTCTCCGAACTGCTTAGAATGTTAACAACCGGTTCTAGCGAATAGGTGCAAACTGGTGGAATCCCACCCCTGACTATACCATTTCAGGCAAATGGCTGCCCAACCTCATCTTTAAAATCACCAGTGATGGAGCGCTCTCAGCTTCTGAAGGCAAGCATTTCTGAGGGCAAACAATAAGCGTTCCTCAACTTACAATCACAATTGAGTCCAAAATTTCCATTGCTAAATGAGACAGTTGTTAAGGGTCTTTGCCCTATTTTTACAATCTTTCTTACCACAGTGGTTAAGTGAACTGCTGCAGTTAAGTTAGTAACCTGGTTGCTAAGTGAATCTGGCTTCCCTAATAAGGGTCGCAAAAGGTAACCATATTCTGGGATACTTGCAACAGTCATAAGTACATGCCAGTTGCCAAGCATCCAAATTCTGATCAGGTCACCCCCGGGGATGATGCAAAGCTCACAAGGGTGAAAAACGTTCATAACTCGCTTTTTTCACTGCCATTATAACTTCGAACGGTCACTAACAAATGATTGTAAATCGAGGACTGCCTGGATGTATTTGCCAATGGTCTAATTTTTAATGGCACACAAGATGTGGGGATTAAATATGGATTAAGGTATTTATTTTCATTCTTTTTTTTTTTCGTATGGAAGAGGATGGTTGGGTTTTGATGTTTAGTTTGCCTTCTTTTTTTAAAAAAAAAGCTCAGAAGATGGCATTTGAAGCATCATTCCTTCTTAGTCTCCGTGTTTTTGAAGGTTGCCTGCAAGGCAGTGCCATGCTGAAGTCACCCAATGTGCCCAGCCCTCTGACTTTGGGGAGACAGACTTAACCCGCTTTCCTGACCGCTTTCCCTTTGTGCCACAATGGTTGCTTTCATTGCACGAGAAACCGACTTAGTCTGGTTTGCCTTAAGCAAGAGAGGAATGCTAAACTTGCAACGCAGCTGCTGTTTGCAAGAAGGGTGGAAATTTTCTATAAATAGTTCAGAAGGTAATAGCATTGAGATAGCTGAAAAACAGTGCTGTGATCTGGAGAGATGGCTGCCTCTCCTTTCTGTTCATTCTCAGCAATATATGGGTGCATTTTAATCTAATCTGCACCTAAAGAGAGAGGTTTGGAATGTTTTGCACTGCATGAAATTGTAAATTCAACCATAGAATTTATGTGAAGAAATGTTCTATCTTTTCTTATTTCCTTCCTTCTTTTTCTCTTTCTTTCTTTCTCTTCCAGCCTTCCTTTCTTCCTTCTTTTCTTCTCTTTCTCTCTTTTCTTCTCTTTCTTTTTCTTGCTCTCCCTTTTTCTTTTTCTTTCCTTCCTTTTCTCTTTCCCCCTTTCTTTCTTTCTTTCTTTCTTTCTTTTTTCTTTCTTTTCTCTCTTTTTCTCTTTTTTTCTCCTCTTTCCTTTCTCTCTCTCCCTCTTTCTCTTTCTTTCTTTTCTTTCTCTTTTTCTTTCTATCTCTTTCTTGGTTGTTTGAAGATCACCAGAAAGTTACATGTTTGAATGAAGACTCATATCAGGATGTGAATTTTATTTGCCACATATTTTAAAAGATTTTTACCGTACTCTTTGTCTATAGTATACTAATTAAATTTTTTTTTATTGGCCAAGTGTGACTGGACACACAAGGAATTTGTCTTGGTGCAAATACTTCACGCTTAGAATCGATGTTTATAGTATTAAAGGGAATTTTGTTAACAGAATATTGTATATACTGTATATTAAAGTATTCTTTCTGAAAATCTTTCATTCAATTAATTGAAAAGAACTCCCATAATCATTTCTTTCTCTGTTTAAAAACTTATTTTAAAAAAGAAAGAAAATTGCAATCCACTTTATGCCTGATTAATATCCACATGGGACTCTTTACCCCCAAATATAACACATTAATTATTAATGTATTGTAGAAATTCTACAATAGTTTCTGCTCTTCTGCCTTCCATTCTAGTTATTATAGTATAATATATTGGCTGGATCAACAAGCATTTATGTAGATTAGTTAGAGTTACCAGCCAATTATAGAAATTCTAGGCATTGTGAAAAAAAAAAACCCTTCTTGCAGAGATTTGAAAATCATTTGGGTTGTAACATACCATATATAATTATAATTTACCTATACTTGCATTATGCTGAGCCACATCATACTCATTTCAGGGGTTTCTTGCCTTACAGCAGGGATGTCAAACTCACATCATCATGGCAATGATGTATACGGAACTTTTTCCCCCTTTGCTAAACCGGATGGGGGCAGTGCAAGCACGTGAAGCATCCAGCCCGCAGGCTGCGAGTTTGACACCCCTGCCTTATAGCAATAGCATTTAGACTTATATACCGCTTTACAATACCTTACAGCCCTCTCTAAGCGATTTACAGAGTCAGCCTATTGCCTCCAACAATTTGGGTCCTCATTTTACCCACTTCAGAAGGATGAAAGGCTGAGTCAACCTTGAGCCTGGCGGGGTTTGAACTGCCAAGTTGTAGGCAGTCAGCAAAAGTAGCCTGCAGTGCTGCACTCTAACCACTGCGCCACTGCAACTCATTGTATTTGAATTAAACAGAAAATAAAATGATACTGAATTCTACCTTTATAATCAAGGAAAAACCCTGCAGAACTCAAAATTTTGTAACACAAGCCAACAACAAACTATTAAATACACTATGCTAAACCAAGGTTTGAATAGGATTGAAGCTGCTCGGAATCACCTGAAACACAAGATAGACAGCAAATAAATTTAAGAAAGAAAGAGAGGGGGGAAAGAAAGAAAGAAAGAAAGAAAGAAAGAAAGAAAGAAAGAAAGAAGATATCCTTCATGCTTGATAGACCTTATCTATAAAAGAATAGACCTATTGATTGTTGCTACTCTTCTTGATGGACCTTACTCTCCTCTGATCCACTGGACTGTTTAACAAGAGCCATTCTCTGCAAAATTTGACTTACTTCTATCCTTCCCTCAAGCATTTGCAAAAGATGCATTTTATATATGACTACATGCACAAATCCCTGCAGTTTTCTAGACAACATTTTCAGAAAGCGTTTGCCTCTGCCTTCTTCCTAGACTGAGAGAGAATGACAGGACAGGACAGGACAGGACAGGACAGGACAGGACAGGAAAGGAAAGGAAAGGAAAGGAAAGGAAAGGAAAGGAAAGGAAAGGAAAGGAAAGGAAAGGAAAGGAAAGGAAAGGAAAGGATTCTTACTAGAGCAGAAGATTATTCAAGGTAGAGCAGATTGCCAGGACTGAAAGATCAGTGACCATCCCAGGACAGATGTAGAAGGCAAGTGAGTGGTTCTTGGTTCCACCCCAGATCTTCCTATATATAGCCCAATGATGCATCATATTTCTGGAATGGCATTCAATTTTCTACGTGCATCTCTCAATAGGAGGAGGTAGAGGTGACTATTGCTATGGTAAGGTCATTCCTTACTCCCACCAGACACATTATTGGAATGCTTAGGTTTGGGGATGCACCCTTCTATTTACTCAGATTCTCAAGACCCCTCTAGGAATTAATTTTATACTTCATCCTGTGAAAATCCTGACTCTGTTCCATTGGAAGGCAGCCTTTGGATTTCTGAGTACTTAGAACAGCTGCGGAAGGAAGCTATCCAGTTTCCTAGCCAATGAAATTGCAAGGGACTACCAGCTTGTAACTGGATGTGGGGGGAAGGGCGTAATAACTGGAGAAAAATGAGTAGGTGGCCAAGGATGGGGTGACAGGTGAACAGACTTGGTTTACAAGAAATGATGGGGAGTATTGGAGGGAGACTCATGACTGAAGACTGAATGCTCACCTACAGAGGCAGTCACAGTGCCTGCAGCAAATTGTATCATTCCATACAGATAAACAGATAATCAAAGTGGGAAGGGACTTTGTAGGTCATCTAGTCCAACCCCCACCCAAGAAGGAGACACCACACCATTTCTGACAAATGGCAGTCCAATCTCTTCTTGAAAGTCTCCGGGGATGGCACTTCCACAATTTCCGAGGGCAACTTCTGTTCCATTGGTTGATTGTTCTCACTGTCAGAAAGTTTCTCCTTATTTCCAGGTTAAATCTCTCCTTGTTCATTATTCCTTGTCTGGCCTATAGGCGCTTTAGAAAATAGCTTGACCCCTTCCTCTCTGTGACAGCTCCTCAAATATTGGAAGACTGCTCTCATGCCTTCCCTGGTCCTTCTCTTCACTAGACCAGCCAAGCCCAGTTCCTGCAACCGTCCGTTGTATGTTTTAGCCTCCAGTCCCCTAATCATCCTGGTTGCTCTTCTCTGTACTTTTTCTAGAGTCTCAACATCTTTTTTATAATGCGGTGATCAAAACTGCATGTAGTACTCTAGGTGTGATCTTACTAAGGCTTTACAGAGTGTTATTAATACCTCACTTGATCTTGATTGTATCCCTTTGTTAATGCAACTTAGGATTGCATTAGCTTTTTTGGCGGCTGATGAGGGATGGGATGTAGGTCAGGCCCTGGGAAATTTGGAAGGCATGAATGACCCATGAACACCATGACGGTGCTTTTTTCAAGAGGCAACTAGACCTTGTTTTTTTTTCTTTCTGTTTTTTTCTTTGAAGACATTTCGCTTCTCATCCAAGAAACCTTTTTGGGACAACCATGACTGAATGACTGAGAATAGACCCATGAAGAGTTTTGGGGGGAGGAGAGTTACTTAGCCCTGAGAAAGGAGAAACACGAGAAAGAAACTCAAAATACCCCTGCCTTGATTTTGTTGGGTATAACTAAGTTGTGAGAAATTTTGACAGATTTTCAGAATTTAGTTTATTTTTTGACAAGGCGAATTAATCTGAAGTAGCGGCATAGCGATGTACCGAGTTACAGGGTGGAGGTTATCTGTTCATTGGGAGACTAATCCCTTTTCTTTCTACTTAAGACAGTTCCATCAGTCCTTTTTATAATTTGAAAAACCATCTGCTCTTAGACACTGTTCAGGTGCCATGTAGTCATATAAAGGTTTACATATTATTCCAGTAACAGTCACGGAGTTGGAAGGGACCTTGGAGGTTATCTAGTCCAACCCCCTGCTCTCACAGGTGACCTATTCTAGTTCTGATAAATGGTTGTCCGGTCTTTTCTTAAAACCTTCCAGTGATGAGGCAATCCTCAACTTCCAAAGGCAATGTGTTCCGCTGCGAAATATCCTCACTGTTAGGTGTGATTATAGGAAATACATTTATTTCACTGCATTAATTGTTGCTCCTTTTGGGGAGAACTGGATCAGTAATTTAGCTACTTTAGAGGAAGAAGCAGTTTCGAAACTAAACCCTTTTCCAGTACGTATAGATTGGGGGTGTCAAAAACATGTGGTCAGATCCAGCTCACAGGGCCATCCTGGAAAATGTAAGGGCATGGTCTACCCAATGCGAAGAGGAAACATCGAGCCAGCATGGCTTCGGCCTGGTCTACCCAGTACAAAGAAGAAACATGCCAGCAGTTTGGGGAATGGCGTCAAATTGGCCACGCCCACCTAGTCAGCCACACTCACCCAGTCGGCCATGCCCAGTGAGTGGCGTCAAGCTGGCCATGCCCACCCAGTCAGCCACACCCACTTAGTCTGCCACGTCCACCTGGTCCCCAAGGGGAACCACAGACCTGATGTGGCCCTCAATGAAATTGAGTTTGACACCCCTGCTATAGAGGAATCCTCGTTTCTCACCATCAGCAATTACTGATGGGGAAATTATAGAGCGTGCATAATATTAGAGGTCACCCACAAATGCTATGAATTGCCTACTATAGTGGGATTTGACTGTCTAGTTTTGAAATAAACAATCGCCAGCCAAAACTTCCAAGAGAAAAGAATGGTAATTTTATTTACTGCTTTGCAAAGAAGGTGCCCCCACGCATGTGGGTACAGTGGATATACCTTATATCATCAATATGTTTGCCTTATATTCCCTATTGCCGTTACAAAATTACCCCCAACTTTTTCTCATTGGTGTAATACTCATGCCGTCACAACCTATCCCAAGAATCTAAAGTGAATACATTATCTCCTCCCCTGATTACCTCTCCCATTACTCTAATTCTATCAGCCCCACCTGCCCTTATTTACCTTTTATGGCCCTAGTTCCTAGGGGTTGTCTCTAGAGTAACTATCATATCAGTAAATTCTGGTTAAGATTGGTTTGTGGCATAGCAAAAGCCTCTGATCCTAGTCCCTACACACAATTCTCAAGCTTCAGCCTAGCTCATGAGATTAGAAATGTATGCAATGTATTTTCTTCACAGGACAGCATGTCTTCTTACAATTCTGTAAAAACAGTACACTCTGTTTCCCACACTATCATTTAACACAGCATTTGCAGTATTTGCATTACAATCTCTAGTAGGGGAAGAACTGTGGAATGCAGTATTGCAGGCTGACTCTGCCCTCAGTCAGGAGTTCGATTCTCATTGGCTCAAGGTTGACTCAGCCTTCCATCCTTCTGAGGTCGGTAAAGTGAGGACCCAGTAAAGCACTTGGAGAGAGTTATAAAGCCATGTGAAGCAGTATATAAGTCCAAGTGCTATTGCTATTGCTAATATCATCATGTACAGCTTATGAATCCTGATATCATTGCAATGGGTTCTAGATGCCTGCTATCTAACTGCTAGAAATTTCTATCTCTGCTTTCCAGAGAGTAAGCAATACTCTCTTACCAGAACTATTATTACCAGAACTATTATTGCTAATAGTTACCAGAACTATTATTGCTAAGCAGTGCAGTCATTAAGTGAGTTGTGCTCACTTTTATGACCTTTCCACCATAGTCATTAAGCAAAATACATGAATATTAAGCAAAGGTAGCTTCCTCCATTGATTTAGCTTTTGGAAGTCACCAGGGAAAGTCACAAATGGCAATTGCATAACCCTCGGACACTCTCCTGAAAATATACTGGTAGCCAAATGCCCAAATTTTGATCAGAGGGACCACTGCAATGGTCACATGTGCGAGGACTAATCATGAGTCACTTTTTTCAGCACAGTAGTAACAATGAATGTTCATTAAATGAATGATTGTTAGGGCTTAAAAGATTGATCTCAAGAACTTTAGAGCACTGAAGATCAGGAAAAACTACAGATAGTTTTTGACTTACAACCTCAGTTGAGCCAAAACATCTCTTGTTAACAAGGGAATTGTCAAAGGAGTTTTGCCCCACTTTATGATTTTTCTTGCCGCAGTTGTTAAGTGAATCAATGCAGTTGTTAAGTTAGTAGCACGGTTATTAAATGAGTCTAGCTCCCCCATTGACTTTGCTTGTCAATAGATCACAAAAAGTGATCACATGACTCCAGGACACTACAACCATCATAAACGCAAGTCAATTGCCAAATATTTGATTTTTTTGCTCGTGTGATGACGGGGACGCTGCAATGGTCATAAGTGTGAAACATTGTTGTAAGTCATTTTTTTCAGTGCTGTTGTAACTTTGAATGGTCACTAAATGAATGGTTATAAATTGAGGATCATCTGTAGACTTTGGGGAGCAGTTCTATCATAGAATCATAGAACTGAAGGAATGTCAGAACTCTTCTAGCCCAATGCCCTGCCAAAAACAAGTGTCCTTATACCATCCCAGACAAATGCTTGTCCAATCTGTTCTTGAAAATCTCCAGTGTTGGAGCATCCACAACTTCTGGAGGCAAATCATCCCCCTGATTAATTAATTGATCCGTTAATTGATTCCTCATTCTCACTGTCAGTAAATTCCTCCTTGTTTCCAGGTTGGATCACCCTCTGACAAGTTTTCCCCTATTACTTCTTGTCCTGCTTTCAGCTCCTATGGAGAATAACAGCAATAGCACTTAGACTTATATACCACTTCACAGTGCTTTACAGCCCTCTCTAAGTGGTTTTCAGAGTCAGTGTATTGGCCCCAATAATCTGGGTCCTCATTTTACCAACCTCAGAAGGATGAAAGGATGAATCAACCTTGAATCGGTCAGAATCAAACTGCTGCGAGTGGGCAGAGTTAGCAATAACAATAGCACTTAGACTTACAGCATATACCACTTCACAGGGCTTTACAGCCTTCTCTAGGCGGTTTACAGAATCAGTGTATTGCCCCATCCAAAATCGGGGTCCTCATTTTACTGACCTCGGAAGGATGGAAGGCTGAGTCAACCTTGAGTCACAGAATGTATCTGTACCTCTTTCCTGTTCCATCCTTTCAAGTATAACGCAATCCTAAATTGCATTAACAGAGGGATTGAATCAAGATCACATGAGGCATTAATATCATTCTATAAATCTTAGTAAGACCACACCTAGAATACTGTATCCAGTTCTGATTACCACAGTACGAAAAAGATGTTGAGACTCTAGAAAGAGTACAGAGAAGAGCAACCAAAATTAGGGGACTGAAGGCTAAAACATATGAACTGGGCATGGCTGGTCTAGTAAAGAGAAGGACCAGGGGAGACATGATAGCGGTCTTCTAATATTTGAGGGGCTGCCACAAAAAGGAGGGGGGGGGTCATGCTATTTTCCAAGGCCCCTGGAGGACAGACAAGGAATAATGGATGGAAACTGACAAGGAGAGATTCAGCCTAGAAATAAGGAGAATTTTTCTGACAGTGAGAACAATCAACCAATGGAACAGAAGTTGTCTTTGGAAGTTGTGGGAGCTTCATCACTGGAAGATTTCAAGAGACTGGACTGCCATCTGTCAGAAATGGTGTAGGGTCTCCAGCTTGTGGCCCCTTCCAACTCTGTTATTCTATTCTGTTCTATTAGAAGACTGCTATCAAGTCTCCTCTAAGCCTTCTCTTCGTTACACTAAACATACATACCTAGCTCCCTTAGATGTACAGTTTACAATTTAGCCTCAAGGCCCCTTATCATTTGTGTTGCTCTTCTCTGCACACTTGGTATGGCTTCATTGTCGTTCCATTGCTAATCACTCTGTTTTTGTGCAATCCATTATGACATGATCACCATTTCAAATTCAGTTCCAAAACCTGCCAAGGACCATGTTGAGGGCTAATACATTAACTGCTGGAAATGTCACTTCCTAAACTTAGATTTAAATCCATATTGGCCTCTCTATGGCTGAGACTTCCAGGTGTTGTTGTATCTAACAGGTAACAGCTCAAATAATAATTATGTAGAGATGTTGGGGATATATATCACACTAATCCGGAGTTTATACCACTAGTTTTTTTTTATTATTTTGGAGAAATCACAGAGGTCTGGTTCACACAAAATACTAAACTCCGAGCCATGGGTTACAAACCATGGCTGTCTTCACACTAAGCCACAATGAAATAAAGTGTTTTACAGCTGGCCTTATTCACTTTGAAATCTCATTCTCTAATTTTGTGAGAGTTTGCTGTTCCCTTTAAGGATCCTACAGCGCCATCTAGTGGCTAATTGATAATGCAAAAAAAGGACCCATGTTTCCAGAGGGCTGGAAGGGACCTTCGGAGGTCTTCTAGTCCAACCCCCTGCTTAAAGCAGGAACATTGAAAATATGTTTATTTAACCCATAATTGTAAAGTAACATTGGGAAACAGGCACTATGGACTGTTCCTCATTGACATTGTATAGGTTTATTTTTAACTTAAAGACATAGCCAATCATCAATAGAATGGAATGCATTAGTTTATAACTTAACAATAGGTAAGATAATTAAATGTTTCCTTATCTAAGAGCTAAAACAGATGCCTCCTTATTTATAGTAAACCATATGTCTATATATCTTGGTTAAAACAAATATCCCCTTAAATGAACATTTTATTTTATTCTTTTTTACTTGGATACTAGGCCTTATCTATGGTAACAAAATGAAATTCAGTGTAAAGTAAGGTTATAAACTTAGACAGGAAAAACCAAATACATAGGTACAGATTAGATGAAACCTCTCTCAATAACAGTAACTGCAAGAGGGATCTTGGAATCCTAGAGGACAATCACTTATATATGAGCTAGAAATGTGGGGCGGTAGTTTAAAAAACAAACAAACGCAGTCCTTGCTAGCATTAACAGAAGGAGAGAATCAAGATCACATGAAGTATTAGTACCGCTTTATAAAGTCCTAGTAAGATCACATTTAGAATATTACATCTAGTTTTGGTCACCCTATTATAAAAAAGATGCAAAGACTCTGGAAAGGAAGCAGAAAAGAGCAACAAAGATGATCAGAGAGCTGGGGGCTAAAACATATTTAGGATGGTTGCGGGAATTGGGTTTATCTTGTTGGAAGAATTATCCTTCTGGGTTCAGTTCCCAGTGCAGAAAAAGATACTGGAAACATGGAGGCTGTTTGGGAAGATGGTTTAATGGTGGACAGGACCACATGGCTTGGAGCTCCAAAGTGAAAAGAGAAGATCAAGAAGGGCTGATATGCAGAGAGTGCCTGGGTTTTATAACCTTTGTTGGGATTTGAATTGGAGCTTGCATTCTGATTGGTGGTCAGACTCCCATGGGGCCATGCAGGGGCAACTCTGTAGGCTGCCCTGAGTCCCAGGCTTGGTTGAGCCTTGCTGGATGATGATGCACTGAAAAGGGCTTTGGGCAATTGCTGTAGCTTTACCTGGAGATCTTTGTTATGTAAAGTATTCTGGCCCAGGCCCACCCATTAACAAAGGTGGGAGTGAGTTTCTACTTCTGAGGTGAGTTTCTGTTTCTGAGTTTCTACTCTTTTTAGGGGAAATATTCTGCCCTTTTAATATTTCCCAGGATATTTCAATTTTCTAGGAGAGGGGTGGGTGCTAACTTCCTACAATCTAATCTAGTGAAAGGAACGACTAGAGATGACATGATAATAGTGTTCCAATATTTGTACAAAGAAGTGGGGGGGGTGTGTGTCAACCTATTCTCCAAAGCACCAGAAAGCAAGATAAGAAGAAAGGATAGAAACTAATCAAGAACTATGGAGAAATTTCCTAGCAGTGAAAAAATTTAATCAGTGGAATACCTTGCCTTCAAAAGTTGTAGATGCATCATCACTGGAAGTTTCCAAGAAGCTTCTGAACTTGTCCGGGATGGTATAGACCTCCTGCTTGAGCATGGGGTTGGACAAGAACACCTCCAAGGTCCCTTCCAACTCTGTTATTCTGTGTATGTTTTTCTTTATGTATGATATACGTCTTCTTTTCTATAGGTTTTGTTATATGAGGTACTCATTTGTTTATAATGGCTGGAACCAGTTTTTTTTTCCTAATTGCTTTACTGCTATCCTTGGTGCTCTGTGAACTTGGTTTTTCTTGCTTGCTGATGCTTCATTACCAAATTAGGTAACATCTTCCTTGCTAGTGGGTATGAAGTTTCTTGTTTATATACAGTAGCTTTCCCTGCCAGTGTTGGCAGGGCTGAGGTGTCCTTCTTGTTAATTGCTAGATTAGGGTATTGCATTCTACTTGAACATTTATATTTTATACCTCCATGAGTCACAGCTAATAAAACTGATTGCTTTTAAAGACATTAATTGTACCAAGAGAACACTTGTTTGCATGACAATTGTTTTTAAATTTTGTAGTGAATTGTTCAAAGTATAGGTAGTCCTTGGCTTACAACAATTGAGACCAACATTTCCATTGCTAACTGAGACATTTGCTAAGTGAAGACTGTCCCATTTTACAACCTTTCCTGCCACAGTTGTTAAGTGAATCACTGCAGTTAAATTAGTAACATGATCATTAAGTAAATGTCTTCCCCATTGACTTTGCTTGTCAGGTTGCAAAAAGGAGGGATCATATGACTGCAACCGTCATAAATATGAGTCAATGGTCAATGAATTTTGATCATGTGCCTATGGGGATGCTGCAACCATTGTTAAGTATGAAAAATGGCCATAAATTACTTTCTAAGTGTCACTGTAACTTCGAATGGTCACTAAATGAACTGTTATGAGAGGACTACCTGTGCCTCGAAGTTCCAAGCTAGTGCTTTAAAGTTGCTTAAAGAGACATTAAATCTACTTTATCCAGTCAGGTATCCCACAGATGTAGGAAACGACACCTCTCTGGCCAGGGAGGTTAAGAATTTGTTTGGTTCGTGTTTATAGAGAGAGGCACAATTTGCATTTCTCCGTTGTTAGCCTCATACATCCGAAGATGCCACGTCACGCCAAACGAGGTGCTGCAAATACCAATCACTCGCGCTCTCCTATCCTGAAAAATTCAAGGGTCGCCAAAACTGCACGTCTGAGTCCTTAAACTCCGCGGGACCCTCCTGAAATCCCGCCGCCGCCCCCCCCCCCCCCCCCCCCAAGCGACAAAGGAGAAAGCGAAAAGCGAAAGTAACGCTTGACGCCCTTCGATGAAGTCCTTCCACTTTGCGCCTCCGGGGCGCGCGGGCGTGCAAACACCAGCCACTTCCTTTTTTTTTGTTTCCCCTGAAATTCAGCCGCCCGGTATTGTCCAGGAGAAGTGCGATGGCCGAGAGCGTCCGTTCCACCATCGAAAATGTCCTGGAGGACTTGACGGAGGACGAGCTCCGAAAATTCAAGGCGAACCTCCACGACTACCAGGTCAAGCCGGGCTACAACAATATCCCCCGAGGGCAGCTGCAGAAGGCCGACGCGCTAGATCTGAGCGACCTCCTGGTCAGTTTCTACAACGAGGACTACGCCGTGGAGGTGGCCGCCGCGGTGTTGATGGCCAGCAACTGCAAGCCTCAAGCTCAGAGGCTTCTCAGAGCCGTCTAGAAAGAGGTAGCATGTGGGATGAGCGGTTTCAGCCACCATAGCAATAGCAATGGCACTTAGACTTACATACCGCTTCACAGTGCTTTTACAGCCCCCTCTAAGCGGTTTACAGAGTCGGCCTTTTGCCCCCAACAATCCGGTTCCTCATTTTACC